AATAAAAAACGAAAAAAATAATTTTAAAAAATTTGAAAAAAATTAGGTATACTCTATACACGTAACGCAATAATCTCACGAAGTTTCATAGAAACATTCAATTTCACCCTGTATGGGTTACTTTTTTGGTGAATGATTTCACTTTTGAGATATGAGTCGAATTCTTTAATGCAATATTCGCCCCCATTATCACTTCTCAATATCTTTATTTTCATATTAGTTTGTTTCTCAACTTTTGCTTTAAATTCTGTAAAACATCTGAGTGCTTCACTTTTATGTTTAATAAAATAAACAAACATTATTCGACGGAAGTCGTCAATAAATAATATAAAATATCTAGAATCTGCCAATGATACTTGTTCCATAGGCCCACAAATATCTGTGTGAACTAAATGAAGTAGTTCTTTGCTTCTTGAACCCACATTTGTGAATGTCGTATAACAATGTCGATTGCCAGTTACAGTTACAGTTTGCTGTGAAGGTAAACATACCTTCACAGCAAACTGTACATGATGACTTGTCTATATCAACCTTTTCTTCAAGGTACATACCTTGAACAGCACTCTTCATTTTATGAAGGTATTTGCTGTTGACATGACCTAGTCGGCGATGCCAGGTGTTGCCTGATATAGCCAAATTAGCTACTACATTTTCAGGTACTATTAACTTATATACTCCATTGTTTAATACAGCTGTGGCCACTAGTTCACCATTTCTGTTATATACATCACAACCATTTGGCGTAAACTGAACTTTATTACCGGATCTTATTAACTGGCTCACAAGTTAGTTATCAATCCTGGAGCACATAATACATCCTTGACTAGTATTTTATATTCACATTGATCAGTTTTAGTCACAATGGTCACATCGCCGGAACATAATACTTGCAATCTTTCACTATTAGCAACAAATATATTTTTCATTTTGTGATATGTAGCATTCTCAATCCACTGTTCATTAGCGGTTAGGTGTACGCTCGCCCCAGAGTCTATGTACCAGTCGTATTTATTAAATTTGCCACTCAAAAACACCGCACTGAATGCATTACTTTGTTTACGTTGATTGGTATTATTATTATTTAAAGTGTTTGTGCATTGATTCTTGTAATGACCAGTTTGTTTACACCGGTAGCATTTGATTTGACTTTTGACATTGACATTTGGTTGCGTTTGTTTCCTATGTGTATTCACCACAGACAATTTATTTTTCTTAGGTTGCCATTTCTGCATGCTACTCGCAAATGCACCGCTAACTTCATCTGATTGATTATTGCACACTTCCGCATCCGCTCCCATGTCCATTAATTTTGTTCCAATGGCGTCCGTCGTGACTTGAATGCCTGAATGCTCAATTGCCATGATCATCGGCATGAATTTTTCCGATGATCCTGCCAATAGTAAACAACCAATCCACTCGTCACTGATTTTGAAACCCGCGCCACTTAGCTTTTGTCCCGTTTCGACTATTTGCGTTATGTACGACTGCATAGAAACACAATTTTCCAGGCGTATCGAGATCAAATTACGTAAAAGAGATATTCTTCTTGTAAATCCCGAATCGTCGAATAATGCCTTTAATTTGTTCCATAGCTCCAACGTGGTCCTCACGTCCTTGATATGTACATATAACGTAGTCTATAGTCATGATTAATTTTGCTTTGGTTCTCGCGTCATCTGCGGCTTCTATTACTTTCCCAGCTACTGGCTTGATGCAGTGCACCATATCCTCTAGGATTAGAAAATTCTCCGCGGCGAAAATCCACTCGTTGTAGTTTTCCCGGCCTCTTAGTTTGGGCACATTTACTAAATAGTTCGCTGCCATTCTTGCAAATCTTTATTGCAGATACTGAATAACACGTTATTAATCACACTTTAACTACTTCTACTACGAAAGAGACTATTATATAAAGAAATACTTATGGTCTGGGCCCATAGCCTAAAATGAAACAACGTTTTCAATGACACGAAGCACCGTGTGGTTTTATTAAAAAAAAACATTCCTTACATCATTCACAACAGATGGCAGCACTAGTAAACAATATTTTGATACAATTTAACACCATAACCTGAAATAATAAATAATAATATATTCTTTAGATTGTGAAATTCAATAAATAAATAAAAAATAAAATTCAGAAAACTTTCAATTCAGTTTATTTCGACAGAGTGACAAAGTCATAGAAAAAAGACAAAACAAATTAAAATCAAAGACAAATTTCAAACTGCCTATACAACCTACTAACAGAGTCGGATCATATTTTATTTGATGCTAGTATGAGCGCACCGTATCATTCATTTCTTTTTAATCTAAGATACAACCAGAGAAACTCCTGCCTTCTTCAAGCGAAGAGATATTAAACGTTTTCGGAAAATTGACGATTAAATACAGTAAAGAGATCTCAGTTAACCCTCAAGACCAATTGGTCATAAGGGTTAACTGAGATCTCTTTAATTAAAGGCCCTAAAAACATGCTTAAAAACTGAAAATTCATTCCATTGTGGAATTCATTGAATTATTGCTGATAAAATTCAATAGTCTTGCATCCAGTTTTCCGGAGGTAATAACAGTAAGCTTTTTATTTCTAGTCACAACCGCAACTGCTGAAAGAAGTTTTTCAAAATTAAAACTGATAAAAAATTACCTAAGAACTTCGATGGGATATGAACGCCCGTCAGACTAATCACTATTGTCCATAGAGGCAGAAACTTTAGAAAAACTAAAGTCATCATCAGCTAATAAAAATGATAATAATTACTTTGGCGAAAAAAGGCAAGGAAAGTGTATATTCAATTTAAATTGTTTGTAAAAAATTTGGAAAAAGTGACAGATAGATAATTATGTTGAATAAATATTTCTTTTAATTTTATGCAAACTTTTTTTTTCTTTTGTGAGAAATCTTTACCCTTCCTAAGAGCCCCCAAACAATTTTTATACGGGGCCCCGCCAAGGCACGCTACGCCACCGACTCCACTAATCGTTCTTTATATTTAATTAAAATTTTATCACAAAAAACATATTTGCGATGTTACATGAAACTTGTTTATTGTGACGGACTGGAGTGTAACTGTTATCTAGTTCCGTTTGCTTATATTTGCATCGAGGACAAGTCCAACTATTTTTGTCTTCGGTTGTCATTCTGTTGTAGAATCTCTTTTCGGTAATATTAACACAATCCAGGTCATAACTTTCAAAGCATTTTGAATATGATAAATTTCTTCTGTCTGGTATATGTATCTGATAAACATGCAGCACATTTGATTATAACCTTTATTGTTTACCTAAACAAATGAGTCTAATCTAATATTATCCCAATTTTTAAAACAGCGAGCGTTTCTAAACGGACAACACCGTTTGTAAAACGCGGAATCATACAAATTGCCTGCGACATAAGGTAGTGTCGCCGAAGATGGCTCGGCTCCTAGGATAGCCCACTTTAAAAAGAAATATAGTTTGATTATTCGAAAAATTTGAAATGTCGCGGGTTTATACTACTAGTACCGTAGACAACAGTGCAAGTGTGTTTCATTACCGGCGCGTCGCCATTTTGAAGACAGATGACAGTTTGCTTGGTCATGTTATGACGTGTTTTACAACCACCATTATCTAAATCCTTTTGAAAATTAACAAATTTTAAGCAAAGCTTTAAATTTGAGCAAATACTAAAAACCGTGAAATTTCATATTTAAACTATCAGCGAATTATAAGTGAGTGTTATTATTACTTAACCCGGGTGTAATTTTCAAACAAGGCCCATAATATACTCCCAAACTTAGGCCGGGTAAAGACCCGATACCTTTATTGTTTATTAATTTATTATGTCCCAAAATAAAAATCAACTATAAAATAAAAAAAAACTACTGAATTATATTAAATTTAACCTTTAGATCAACTTTGAAAGTAACTTATCAAAATTAAAAATAAATAAGTTAATTCAATAGTCTTAGAAAGCTAAGACTATTGAAATGTAGTGTTAGTATATTTTTATGTTTGTTTTTTACGTTTGTCTGCGCATCTTTTGAGATTCTTTTCTGAGATTTTTGTTAGGAATTTACACACACGGTTAAAAATAGTAACGTCTAATTTGTTTTAACTATTTAAGTATATTTTGATTGATCTCAAAGTTAATTTTCAGTATTCCTTAGATAACCCACCTATGAAGGACATTAAAAAAACATTTAAGAAAAAATTAACTTATTTATTTTTAATTTTGATAAGTTACTTTCAAAGTTGATCTAAAGGTTAAATTTAATATAATTCAGTAGTTTTTTTTTATTTTATAGTTGATTTTTATTTTGGGACATAATACATAGCCAATACATAGACCACACTTAAATCTTTAGTTGATTTTTGCCTTTTTATGAGAAGGATGAGTTTTTATTATGATATTTTATGTTAAAAGTGTTTAAGTCCTTATAATGCGTATATTATCATTAATATTTTTCGGGCCATCTTCAGCAACCAGCTTCCCAAAATAGCCGAATACCAAGTTTTTAAAAAGTGTTTACATTTGTGTTAAAATGCCAATAGCTGTACTACTTTTTTTGATATCCGGTTTCTCAAATAAATATATTACAACTTCCATTATGTTGTTTCTTTACTTTAATTATCTGCAAGATTTTACAATAGAAATTAAGTGGGCCTTCATGGGTGCCTGTACCTTATACATAGTCAGTAGTGTAGCATTCTATTTCAACCGCAATTTTTTCCTCACGTTATTCTAATACGGTCTCACGTATTTGTTTGTGGCATAAAGTAAAAAGAATGAATAAAGTATTAAATGTATTAAAAAAAGGAAGAATTAAGATAGACTTGCCAAAATTTGTCTTGTTAATTTTTACTATTTAGTGAAAATATTAAAGGTCATTTGAAATAAATGTTGAGGATTATAATTTGCCCTTTCCCCAACTCGGCGCGGGGGACAGTGCTTCACTGCTGTGACACCTTTATAATTGAACCTATGATAAGATAATATAATTAAGAAAGAAAAAACTGTTTCTAGGCATTCACGCACTCCATCGAGATAAGCTCGCAGAAGTTGATGGCTGAGAAGCAGAAGAGCGACCTGCTTCTATCCAGGATGCTCCCTCTACCGGTATTGCGCAGGTTTGTTTCCATAAATTTGATTTGTTTGTATATCAAAATACATTCAATACCTTATAGATACTAAAGTACTGAACCAACTGAAAAAAAGATAAGCGTGAAAGCGTACCTATTTGCTCTATGGTGACGACACTGAAATAACAGCAACGCCATCTGTTTGGTAGTGGCAATACTAAAATAAATAATTTCATCCCGCCATCTAACGAGAAGCATAAACAACGACGTTTAAATAGTGTGCAATTTGATGATCAAAACGTGCTGCGGAGCTTGTGGAAAGTTTCTGGTGGCGAAAAAGTACCGCTGCTTCTAGTGTATGTATAATGTATATCTTATAGCTCTCTCTGAAGAGTTAGAAAAAAAAATTGTGTGCACGGACCACTCATCTGAAGTAAAATTTCTTTTTTTAAATAACCTAACCTATTAGGCGGTACACACAAACATACGCACACGCACACGCACACGAAAACGCACACGCACACATACACACACACACAAATCCTATGGAAAAGATACGGATTACATAGGATTTGTCCGAAAAGTTTTTTCACTTCAACAACTGGGAAAATGAAAAAAACTAAGAAGCTGCTCGTGTGCACCACAATGTACTTATGTAATGATGCCTGTTAAATGCCAGAAATCATTTAACAAGAAAAGTTACACACATCAAGAAAAGTTTGAGATCACTTGCAAAAGATAAAAAGATAGTTTAACCAAACTTAAAAACCTTTTATTAATAAATTGTTGTTTATCTAATACAAAATAAATATATTTATATTAATTTTGTATTAGATAAACATGATAATATAAATATGATAAATATGATATCGAATACATGCGGAGATCCACCTGGGCATGCTGAGGATCAAGTTATCCAGCATTTCTTGTGGTAACCTGTCCCATTCTTGAACAACAGGAGCAGGCTGCCGGTTCCAAACAGCTCGCTTAATAGCATCCCACGCGTGCTCTATTGGGTTTAAGTCAGGAGAGCGGGCAGGCCAGTCTAACCTTGTGATTTCGTATTCTCAGAGAGCAGCATTGACTCGTTGAGCTCGATGTGCGGGCGCATTATCGTCAACCAGTACATTGGTGGTGGTGGTTATTGGTTTGGTTTACTCGGAAAGGTCTGACGACTCCATGAATAGCGACTGTTTTGTATCTGTCTGACGTCATGAAGCCTTGATAAGGGATTAAAGGCGTACTTGTCCCAATCATAATACCATCCCAAAAGGACATTGATTGCCCGCCTTACTGAACCGTTCCAGTGGCCGTTCTTTGCCTTTCAGAGTCTCCAGGTCTTCTCCAAACACGGACACGTCGGTTATCTGAATGAGTACTGATTCGCGATTCGTCAACGAAGAGGCAGTTTTGCCAAATGTTTTCCTCTTCGTCTTCTTCGTTTTGCCGGAGCCTAGCCCACTGTAATCTCCGTCGCTGACGTTACCGTGTATTCAAAGGTACTCGCCAAGACCTTCGTGCTCGTAATCCAGCCTTGTGTAAGCAATTCCGAATGGTCTGAGTGCTAAATTCAAGTCCGGGGCGGCCCGTATTTCTCCTATTAATTTAGTGGCGTTTATTGTTGGGTCGCGGGCTACCAGCAACCTGATGTAGCGTTTCTGAGCAGCTGTCAAAACAGTTGGGCGACCGCTGCGATGTTGATCAGCTAAATTACCCATGTCGTGGTACCTCTGCAACGTGGTTACTGCACAGGATTGCGATATGGCAACTCTGCGTGCTATTTCTCTCGTAGAATAGCCTTCTTCCCTCAAAGTTAAAATTCTGGCTCGTAAAACATCTGATAATCCTCGTGGCATTTTTTAAATCACAACTTTCCGTGTAAAAATATTTTAAATTCGATGATATTGACTCAGTCAGATTTCTGAATGAGTGTCAGCTTGGATTGCATGTCTTTTTACATGGAAAAAACAATTGAATTATTTTATTGTTTTATGTTATAATTCTAATTTTAAAAGGAGATTGCTCAGCTTCCATACATGTTTGGCCTAAAGACCAAAAATCATGAAAAATTGTTTCCTAGATTCGAAATTATATATAAATTACTGTAGAAACGAATATTATTGACGGACACCCCTGAGAACTTCTACAAACCATATATACTGAATGATTATGAGGTTATGTTTGCAAATAGGTACATAGGTATTAAAATAATAAAAAACATACGTGCCATAATAAAAGAAGAAGAAGAGAGAATTTTTAAACTCTCGTTAACCAAAGAAAGCCAAGAGATTTAGTTTATACAACCAGATCTTCAGTAGCTTCATTATTTTTGTTATGTTTATATTAGAACCATATTTGAGATTATTCGGAGGTGATTGGCGAAAAATGTATGGCAATAGACTTTATAATGTCACCTACCATCTATAATAATTGTCTTAGCACTTTTGCATGTAGTGAAAATGATAATATAGTTTTGGATATTAATACCATAGTGTAATAAAAAAATGTTTTATTTTATCGATCTTTACAAAATAGATTTGTTTTGATGTTATATAAACAACTTCGATCAATCTTTGGCTGAATGTTACTACACCCATAGCTATTAAAAATGATTCGTATGTTTTCCAAACCGGTAAAGTTAAAAGTTCTTTTTAAAATGAATATTTTATACAAAGGTGTCCGTTAAAATCTTATGACTGTAAAAAAAAAGTATAAATTACGCCAAGAATTACCGTATATGTCAATATTTTTTGTACATTTGGGCCAATTTGAGCAATCTCCTTTAGAATCTTCTCAGAAAAAGAAATTACAAAAAAGTCTTCTGTAACACAAAAAACAATCTATTTTTTAAAGTCATCGCATACTTTTTTTGATGTGTGTATGTACACTTAACTTTGTTAAACAACATCCAATTGTTTTGTCTAAGTATTTCTCTTAATTTGCTGTCCATTAACTGATTAACTGTCCACTAACCAGAATTACAATTTTTAGTTCCAAAACAAGCTATGATTTTACATAGTTGTCTATATACATATTTTGAAAGAAGATTAACATATTTTGGTATTAATAATGCATCATTAGTTTAACAGGTCTATTTATTTAGATATAACGAAAAATATGTTTGGTCTTACTTTCAACCAATTTGTTAATACATCGCATTCGGTTACTGATATTTTCTTAATGAGTATTAGGAAAACATCACTAACCGAAGTGGCTGATATCTAGTGTTTCGGTGTCGCACTAAATAATTTATGAAAATAATTTCCATTCGCATGGTGTTCATGCGTCTGCCTACTGAAATAAAACTGAGCAAGCATTGGTCATAATTATTCTTTTTTTCTAGGGTTCCGTACCTCAAAAGGAAAAAACGGAGCCCTTATAGGGTCACTTAGTTGTCCGTCCGTCCGTCCATCCGTCTGTCAAGACCGTTTTTCTCAGGAACGCGTGGAGGTATCATACTGAAATTCATATCTAATAATCAGTTCTACTGTCCCTTGGAGCTGTGAAAAATCAAACTTCTAAGCACAAGCAATCAAAAGATAAAGCCGTTGATGCCGCAAATTTCCGCAAAATTTCGAAATCGAACGGGAATCAAAACCTACAGGGTACTTCCCGTGAACTTAGAATCTTGAAATTTGGTACAAAGTAACATCTTATAGTACAGATAAAGGAAAAATTGCTAAAACCGTAAATTTTTAATTACGTCATATAATAAAAAATATTTTTGAAAATTCAGGTTTGTACGGAACCCTCGGTGCGCGAATCCGACTCGCACTTGGCCGGTCTTTTTTAAATACTTGCTCTATGAAGTAAAGTTCGATTATTCTCTTTAAAAAAAGAAGATTTTTTATTGCCACCAAAATTATTGAATTTTTAAAATGCATTTTCACAATGTCAAAAATTAATTTTTAAAAACTAAAAAGACAAAAAAAATCAATGACGTTGAACTTGGTCGCATTGTACTTTCCTCAACGAGTGACTCACCCGTCATAACAGACAGCTCTTGTACTAGGTTTATGCCATGAACCTGAACCCCACTTCATGATGAGTGTAAGATGCGGCATTGGCGGTATTCTTGGACGAAGAGGGACCGCATATTTGAACTTCAGGCGAATGGCTCGCTCGTCTATTGATTTCGCTCCGAATCGGATGTGCAGCGGGTGCTTGGGATTGGGACCTAGCAAAAATGACTCTTGACTACCTACAAATATTGTGGCATGTTAAGGTGCTGTCCGACGATCTGTGTTGTCGTGGGCGAGGCCGCACCGCGCAGGGTTACCTAAAGTTCGAGTTTTAGCAGTATATATGCACGATACGAGGTGATGTTACGAATGAGGATGCGTTTAGTGATGGTATAATGAATCTGTACTTGTTGAGACGATCTTCTGTGGATTTGACATTTATTTACTTTCTGATAATATTTTTGGTTTGTCTACATGACACAAACAGTCAACATGGTTCAAATCTCATATCAAAATATACGGGATTTCTATTTACCTCGTATCGTGTATAGATACTGCTAAATTTCGAACGTTAGAGTTCTCATACGTTTGGCAACCCTGCGTGGCGCGGCATCGCCCGCGAGGATAAAGATCGTCGGACAGCACCTTTACAATGGTTGATGTTGTGGTATTGTGAAATGTTTTAGTAGCTTTTTTTTACTGTATGTACTTGTATTATGTTCTATTGGTAGAATAATATGAAAAACAGATGAGAAGGATCCGGTTAAGAGCCCTTTTACAAAATTTCGCCGCTGCCGTACTAGGCGCGTAGGTAGATTTGCACTAGTATATATTGCATTTTACGGGTGATGTTTCGAGTCTTATAAAATAATTATTAATGAATTACTTATAAACATATATACACATCATCATCATCCTCAGCCTATTAATGTCCCCACTGCTGGGGCACAGGCCTTCCCTATGGATGGAATAGGGAGATTGGGCCATATATACACATTTCAGTTCAATGATGGTAGATTAGTTTTATGAAAGTTTTTAATATCAATTCTATTTAATTCAATATCAAAATACGAGGTAAACCTGCATTATTTTTTGGGAAAACTCACGGAGGTCAAATGTTTTTTTTTAATAATTAATGAGATGGAAAATCAAAATTCTAATACATTATGTTACAACAAAAACATAATTTATGATGTTGTAGTAATTAATTTGATCTAATTTATTGAACATTATTGAGAGATTGCGGCGTTTGGAGTTGTGCGTGCATATTATCGTTTTTTCCGTAAACTAGCTGCGTTAGAACGATCAGTACGAAAAACGGAAAATAGTATTTTGCAAATATTTTACTTTAACTTACAATAGGAAGAATAAATCTACTGTTTACTTCTATTGGAAATAGTCAAAATCTTTTCTAAGGGAGTAAACAAGGCGCTCAAAAATTACGATTTTTTGTAAAAAATGTGAAAGGGCTCATAATTGATACCTATGATTTTAATGACAGATTGAGAGCTCAACGCACCGTGCCCGCGGAGGCGTTCGACGCGGTCACCATATTCTTCAGTGACATCGTGGGGTTCACCACCATAGCAGCCAACAGCACTCCAATGGAGGTCATCAATATGCTCAACATGCTGTACAGGTCAACCATTTTTTATACACGATGTATTTTAAGTAGACTTGCAACGAATAGTATATTCGGCAGTATACCGAATACCAAATATTCGGCGAGGCCCCTGACCGAATAGCCGAATATTAGACAAAAGTATTCGGCTGGATTTTAGCGCCAAAAACTTGTACAGACGTGATTGTTTCGCGCTCCTTTGTTTTGTTCTAATCTGCCGATCTGCCGTCCTCAAGTTAAAATACGGCTAAATGATAAAACCAACTTTTGAGATATGGTCAGAAACGACGCGTAAGCTTTAAATTATTGCTGTTATGTAACCATTCAACACATGACTGAATGAATTAAAAACTGTTAACTTGTATAATACAGAAAATGATTAAATTATGTACCTGTTTTATGTTCCTTTAACTACTTAATAAATGATTATAAAAGAAATGAGAACCTTACCCTTCTAAATTTTGATTACCACAATTATTCAAATACCTCCATTTTTCCAATTCAGAAGATGATTATGTACCTGTGTTATGTACCAATGACTACTTAAATGTTTTATATAACAGAAATGAAAATATGAATATATACGTAATCAATGGATTTTAATTTTTCATTTTACCAATTATTTCTCTATGACATAATATATTATTTAAGTATTCGCTATTCGGCCGAATAATATGTAGATATTCGGTTTTCGGCCGAATATAATAAAAGGAGCCGAATAGGCCGAATACCTAATAGTAACCGAATATTCGTTGCAAGTCTTATTTTAAGTTACCTTCTTCCGTCTTCGAGAATCTTTACTGACTCAATTCAGACACAGTATTAGGTTATATTGCCGCAAAGACAAAACTGCAATTATTTTTTTCGAAAAATGTCTCCACCTTAAGAGCGGATGCGAGCAGAGAGACATTTGAGAAATAGGTATATGAAAAATCTATTACTGTCGCATACTGGCAAATACCGTGCGATAGGGACAAAACAGTAAGTAGCGCTGAAAATTGCGTATTAAAATTGCAAAATTCATGTTTGGGTCTTGACGATTTCCTCCTAGAAAACTACATAATGTAAGAGAAGTTTTTCTCATAAAATAATAAGTAGTTATACTCTATGTATTGCTTCTTTTATAATTGCTTATTGGATCTCTACACTAAACGTCTGTACCGGTGATAAAAAAATGATTATTTTTGGCATTTATGAGGGCTTCTAGATTCTTTGAAACACAGATTATCGAAAAAAGTGAAGACATAGGAGCATTGAATTAGTAAAATTTTATTTTATGTATGAATAATTTATTTAGTGATAAATATCAAGGAGAAATCAGTCGAGAACGTTTTTGTGGAAAATATATATTACCATTTACTATTGTGTAATTATGAAACCTTAAAATTTTTAATTTTAAAATCTATGCACTTGAAATGGGTAATAATTTCATATTTGCACATTGCAATTTAGCATATTTTGTGAACGATATAAATCAAAATCTTGGTGGGGGGATGTAGTAAGTTTACTGTTTATAACTGTTCGCACTATGTTTATTAAAATGATTTCTCTGGTAACTTAAAATTTGATGTGTATAATCTACAACTAACTATAATTTATGTTGATACCGGCGTAACAAGCTCTTCTCAAAGCTCTTCTATCTTACTCGAGCACTTCGCGAAATCACCATATCTACCCAGATACTGTTTAAATACTAAAACTTGAATACTAAATCGAAAGTTTTGATCTTTTTTATATAAATTTCTATACAGATTGTTCGACGAGAAAATTCAAGAGTACAATGTATACAAAGTTGAGACGATAGGCGATGCGTACATGGCCGTGTCGGGTCTGCCACAACGAAACGGTAATTATATCAAATTATTTATTAGAATACCCTGTTACTTCAATATAGGACTTTTATAATATCGGTGACGTAGAGCGTACGTTCGGTCATCGATCTTTAGCGTCTGTACCCTTAATACGAGTTTAGAATTACGAAAACTATGATAGTTTTCTAGAGCACTCGTACTAAGAGTACTGATTTTATTGTTTTCATTTCAATACAAACAAACAGTGTTTAAATTCTTTAATTAAATCATTTGCATCTTCTTAAATTTTAAGAATATTTGGTTACTTTGCACCAAAATGGACATAGAACATAATTTACAATACGAAAACTATGATAGTTTTCGTGAGCTCAAACTCGTAACGCGTACTGGTTGCGCGGGAGATGCTAAACATTTGTATATTTAAATAGACTGTAAATTTAAAAATTGGCATGATATTAATCAAAGAAAGGAGATTTTACAGTGATACGGTGCCGACCCCTTTTCGATTCGATATGTCTGCTACGACCATTAAGCAGTTTTCGCATTAGCCGCTCATAGGATGGGTGACAATAATTTCTATCTCGAGCTCCTCTGTACTTCAGAAGGCACGTTTAGCTGTTGGTCCCGTCTGCAGATGCAGTCGCTACCACCCTTTATTACCTAATCCAATTTGTAGTTTCCGATCTTTTGGACCTTGCTACCTATATTAAAAAAAAGGAATCATAAAGTTTAAATGCATTTTGTACGTATTTCAATTGACAAGTGTGTATTAGATATAAGTCAAGTAACTACGTCGTGCTTCGGAAGGTACGTTAAGCCGTTGGTCCTGGCTGCATTTGCAGTCTTAAGAACCTCCCAATCTGTACTGGGCCTACGTGGTGGATCACGGCCCAATCCCTCTATTCCATCCATAGGGAAGGCCTGTGCCCCAGCAGTGGAGACTTTATTAGGCTGATGATGGTGACTGCGTCGTCCTCAGGTAATCGTCACGCTTCCGAGATAGCCGACATGTCGTTATCACTGATGCGCAGTCTGGAGGGGGCGAGCGTGCCGCACTCGCCGAACGAGCCGCTGCGGATCCGCGCCGGCGTGAACACGGGACCATGCGTGGCCGGCGTCGTAGGCACCACCATGCCCCGCTACTGTCTGTTCGGAGACACCATCAACACGGCTTCTAGGATGGAGAGCACAGGCGAGGGTGAGATGTCATGCCATTATAGCTGGAGCCACTGCGGATTCGCGCGTGCGTGAACACGGGACCGTGCGTGGCCGGCGTCGTGGGCACCGCCATGCCCCGCTACTGTCTGTTCGGAGACACCATCAACTCGGCTTCTAGGATGGAGAGCACAGGCGAGGGTGAGATGTCATGCCATTATAGCTGGAGCCACTGCGGATTCGCGCGTGCGTGAACACGGGACCGTGCGTGGCCGGCGTCGTGGGCACCGCCATGCCCCGCTACTGTCTGTTCGGAGACACCATCAACTCGGCTTCTAGGATGGAGAGCACAGGCGAGGGTGAGATGTCATGCCATTATAGCTGGAGCCGCTGCGGATCCGCGTGGGTGTGAACAGGTTCGTAGGCACCACCATGCCCCGCTACTGTCTGTTCGGAGACACCATCAACTCGGCTTCTAGGATGGAGAGCACAGGCGAGGGTGAGATGTCATGCCATTATAGCTGGAGCCGCTGCGGATCCGCGTGGGTGTGAACAGGTTCGTAGGCACCACCATGCCCCGCTACTGTCTGTTCGGAGACACCATCAACTCGGCTTCTAGGATGGAGAGCACAGGCGAGGGTGAGATGTCATGCCATTATAGCTGGAGCCGCTGCGGATCCGCGTGGGTGTGAACAGGTTCGTAGGCACCACCATGCCCCGCTACTGTCTGTTCGGAGACACCATCAACTCGGCTTCTAGGATGGAGAGCACAGGCGAGGGTGAGATGTCATGCCATTATAGCTGGAGCCGCTGCGGATCCGCGTGGGTGTGAACAGGTTCGTAGGCACCACCATGCCCCGCTACTGTCTGTTCGGAGACACCATCAACTTGGCTTCTAGGATGGAGAGCACAGGCGAGGGTGAGATGTCATGCCATTATAGCTGGAGCCACTGCGGTTCCGCGTGGGTGTGAACAGGTTCGTAGGCACCACCATGTCTCGCTACTGCCTGTTTGGCGACAACATCAACACGGTCTCTGGGATGGAGAGCACGGGCGAAGGTGAGATGTCATGTCATTTTAGCTGGAGCCGCTGCGGTTCCGCGTGGGTGTGAACAGGTTTTTTTTTTTTTTTATTAAAGGTATCCCCGATTTGTTTCAGGTCTTTGTTTGATCTTTTGTTGTTTGTTTGTTTCTATTTACTTTTTGTTTTTTAGCCATGCCTGCTTTTTTGCATGATTATATTAGTGCTCTTTCTATTGCACTTCTTTCTTTTTCTTTTTCATTACTTTACAATTGTATTCTTAATTTCTACTACAATTTATTTTTCTTATTGTCTATATTTACATTTTTATATTTCATTCATTTACACACACTTGTTTCTAAATATTTACATTTTCTCATTTTTACTTCATTTACTTACACATTCTTATTTCTTCTTTACATTATTGCCCTGTTTGGCTTTTTTACATATTGATGCCCATTTGGCTCTTTGACTTATATCTAATATTTACAATTGTACAATATAAATATGTACATTTCTATGTTAATTACCTTCATTACTATACCCTTGCTAAACTTGAGAAAAATCTCTCTATCTCTAGTATTTGTTATTATTTCCTTCAGGTTATCCTTACTAAGTTGTATGTCTAGTGCTGTTTGTGCATCGTGTCTTTCTCTGTTGTGGAGGGGGCATTCTAAGAGGACATGAAAGAGGTCCTCTTCGGTGTCTGGGTCGCAAACGCATCTCGGGGTGTCCTTCTTTTTAAACCTATGGAGGTAGGCGGAGAAACCTCCATGCCCGGTAAAGATTTGTGCAGCTATTCTGTCAATCTCTATCTTTCTCACGACACCGAAGGCACTCTCCCCGCAAGGGAAGAATGCCTTCGTTGTGGCCGCCGTGTCCTCGCTCCTATACCTGCTGTCCCATTTCACTTTCGTCATTGCGCGTACATGTCGCTTGACGAAAGAAATGGGACAGCAGTCATAGTGCGATTTGCTCTTCAATCCGAGGGCCGCCTCCTTCGCCAATTGATCCGCTTTCTCGTTTCCGATCACCCCGACGTGGGCCCTGATCCAAAATAGGAAAACGGCTTGGCCATTGTCCCTAAGTTGGGCCAGGTTACCCTAAATCGCCTTGGCGATCGGATGCGAGGAGTCTGGATCAATTAGCGACTGGAGAGAGGACCTTAAATCGCTGAGCACGGCGACCTCCTTCCATCCCTTCCCTAATATACTTTCCGTGGCTTGGAGGATAGCATACAGCTCGGCTTGGAAGACTGTACAGTATGGCTCCAGCTTAAACTTTCGGGAAAGGACTTCTGCTTGCCCTTTCCAACAGGTCAGGGCGGCTCCCACCTTTCCCTCCAGTTTATCGCCATCTGTATAGATTCACAAGACCTTCCGCCGGAAGAACAGGAACATTTTCGTAGGCACCACCATGTCCCGCTACTACCTGTTCGGCGACAACATCAACATGGCCTCCAGGATAGAGAGCACGGGCGAGGGTGAGATGTCATGTCATTATAGCTGGAGCCGCTGCGGTTCCGCGTGGGTGTGAACAGGTTCGTAGGCACCACTATGTCCCGCTACTGCCTGTTCGGCGACAACATCAACACGGTCTCTGGGATGGAGAGCACGGGCGAGGGTGAGATTTCATATCATTATAGCTGGAGCCGCTGCGGATCCGCGTGGGTGTAAACACGTTCGTAGGAACCATTATGCCTCGCTACTGCCTGTTCGGCGACACCATCAACACGGCTTCTAGTATGGAGAGCACGGGCGGGGTGATATGTCATGTCATCATAGCTGGAGCCGCTGCGGATCCACGTGGGTGTAAAAACGTTCGTAGGCACCACCATGCCCCGCTACTGCCTGTTTGGCGACAGCATCAACACGGCTTCTAGAATGGAGAGCACAGGCGAGGGTGAGAGACATCTCACATGACAATGTCATTATAGCTGGAGCCACTGCGGATACGCGTGGGTGTGAACAGGTTCGTAGACACCACCATGTCCCGCTACTGCCTGTTTGGCGACAGCATCAATACGGCTTCTAGGATTGAGAGCATGGGCGAGGGTAAGATGTCATGTCATTATAGCTGGAGCCGCTGCGGATCCGCGTGGGTGTGATCAGGTTCGTAGGCATCACCATGTCCCGCTACTGCCTGTTTGGCGACAGCATCAATACGGCTTCTAGGATTGAGAGCATGGGCGAGGGTAAGATGTCATGTCATTATAGCTGGAGCCGCTGCGGATCCGCGTGGGTGTGATCAGGTTCGTAGGCACCACCATGTCCCGCTACTGCCTGTTTGGCGACAACATCAATACGGCTTCTAGGATTGAGAGCATGGGCGAGGGTAAGATGTCATGTCATTATAGCTGGAGCCGCTGCGGATCCGCGTGGGTGTGATCAGGTTCGTAGGCACCACCATGTCCCGCTACTGCCTGTTTGGCGACAGCATCAATACGGCTTCTAGGATTGAGAGCATGGGCGAGGGTAAGATGTCATGTCATTATAGCTGGAGCCGCTGCGGATCCTCGTGGGTGTGAACAGGTTTGTAGGCATCACCATGTTCCGCTACTGCCTGTTCGGGGATAAAATCAACATGGTCTTCAGGATGGTGAGCACGGGCAAGGATGAGATTATATCATCAGAACCAATCTGGCACATTCGAAGCGAAACAGAACGATATTGGTATTATTTCACCATTTATGGCTTTAGCAATACGAAACTTGGGGGCCTACCGTCGCCTATCGCGATTACTTTGGCTATTGTAAAACGAGCGGGAGGCATTTGAAAACCTTCGGCGGTCAGAAATAATATTATGAAAACATAAGCTATAGCAATAGCCCAAGCAATCCCGATAAGCGGTAGGCTCTTTGATGGGAATAGTCGTAAAGATATGTTACTATTCATATTGATGGTTCAGCCAATTCCTATGTGAACTGTTGCCCTCATGATCGTTTTGTCTCTTTCACTATTATTCATCCAGTTTTCCTTCACTTAGGGCATGCCGCTTAGATATCTACAAATGGCTTCTCTTCTCCGCGCTTTCGTGTTCACTAAAAATTTCGATTTGTCATGTTACCCAAATGAGCAGTGCCGTCTTTGACCTATTGGAGGCCCTGGACATATTAGGATAATGGATTCCCCATGACTTCCATTTGGTGATTTAACAGGAACTAGGGACTTTGTATTTGATCTGGGCACTTGCCCAAAGTGCCCAATGGGAAAGACGGGTCTGCAAATGAGAGTTATGCCCAGCTAAATGAGCTGAGCGAAGTGAAATTGTGTAGAAAACAAAGATCTTTATGAATGTGGCGAAAATATTTCGTTCAGTTAATTTCATAATTTAGTTTTAGATCTATTCCCACCCACACATCCTCACACTTACTTTCAAATTATTATGTAGTCTATAAGAATTTAAGCTTTTGGATACTGCAATTAAAACTCGCCCCCCTGATTTGTCAGTATGAAAATCGCTAGATTCTCGATCGCGACTAAAGACAAAATACCGATCGTCAAACAATGCGGAATTTCTTTCATTATCAAGCCAAGTTTCATACAAAACTACAACGTCATAATTATTTATAATAATACCTACTTTTAAAAATTCTATGGATTTTCTTTTGTGCCAAGACAGTGGTTAGCGAAAATTAATTAGCAAAATGAAATCGCTTTTCAAATATTAATAATTTAAAGACAAATAACATTATATCGATTTCTTAAGAGATTCCAAATTGCGAACGAAAATTGCTTCGGTTGATTCTGATTTACGTATATCATATTATAGATCTTGGTCGCATTGTGTCCAGTAAAACTCTACTTTGTGATTGTGTTGATAAAATTTTAATTGTTTCAGCAATGAAAATACACATTTCTGAAACTACTAAGAAGGCATTAGACGAGTTTGGAAATTATGAAGTAGAATCCAGAGGATTCATAGAGATACCGGTAAGATATTAATGAAAATTGAGTGAGAATATAATTGTATAAGTATGTACATATTATTATTTTTTTGCCTCGTTTAGCTCTTAGGGCCTGTTTTCAGTATATAATAGTTACAGGTTGCCAACTTTATAAAAAAGAGTAAATAAAAAAAAACATAGATCACAATAAGCAGCACAATATTTCGATAAATAAATAAAAAATACTTGTGAAAAAGGAAGTTGGGCTCTCAAGAATATTTTGCTACACGCGATGCAACAGCGTGGGATGTTACTTAGTATATGAATGATTTTCTAATTCCCGGGAAAAACTTCTTTTTAATGAATATTGTAAAATATTATATGAACAAAATTAATTGTTGTTTAAATTTGTATAACAACATGTTATATGAATGAATGCATCTAATCACAATGCATCCACAACTTTTCGTAATATTCTTGAATGTTTTTTATCAGGGTAAAGGCAACATGGAGACCTTTTGGCTCGTAAACAAACTTGGTGATGTGGAGCCCCACAACCAATGCCGAAAGCTGGACGACTACGATAGCAATCTGCTCGAGCTTCTGATCAGAAGTTAATTTATGTTAAGATGTTAATATTAGGTAAATAAAATATTAAAATCAATGTTAGTTTCGTTCTTTACTCTTCCAAATAAAGATTTTGATGTACTAGTTTCTACTGAACATTTTAAGCAGTTTAAATCTAAAGAAAAGTTTACTAGAAAAAAATTCACGCGGACCAGGCAGCGTTTTTATAGTAAACTTTTCTTTAGATTTAAACATCTAGCAGTTAAATGCTTAAAAATAAATAAAAACATCACTATAATTGCTATTTCTTCTTTCAAATGTTTAATACTTGAAAAAGTATTCGTTTGACATTGTGGGTTACCTACAATGCGAAGGGATGGCGCTGCCTTGCAGCTTAAGGCTAGGAAAATTTCGACGCGGCGAATAGGGCCGTGGTAGCATAATGGTCAGTGCATTCGCCCGGATTGCGAAGGGTGCGGGTTCGAGTCCCATCCGCTGCCTGGTCCGCGTGGATTTTTTTCTAGTAAACTTTTCTTTAGATTTAAACATCTAGCAGTTAAATGCTTAAAAATAAATAAAAATATCATTTTGAGCAGTGTTTTTTAGATGTTCATCCCTCAAAGAGCTCTCATGGGATCTATATTAACATCAGGTGGGGTGGAGTCATTTGTCGGACCTAACTATATAAAAAAAAAAAAAAAAATATTAGCTATTCTGTATTTATGTTTTGAAAGCAATTTAATATCAATACTAGTAGAAACTTCAGACGACATTTAGTAACCAGGAGTTACTAAAAAGTCGACTGAAACCAGATTTAATCGCAAGAACCCACTAGTTGTTAATAATTTTACGAATCATGATTCGTCGGATTCGCAAAAGGACGGATTCTCATTTCGCCGGACACAGTACAGTTATATAATATGCAGAATTCAGAAAAATAGCGTAGTTAATACAAATGCCATCAAAAGTGAGCATCATTTTATTACAAGAATTCTTAGAAAGCCAACTTTGCATTCATATTGAGATTGCTGAAGAAGAAGGTACCGTTTTATAACGCAAGATTAAAACTATTACAATTATATTCTGCTATAAAAATGTCGTCCGAGTGACTCCGAAAATACGAAAGAAATTGGACAAAATGCATTTATGGTAGATATTAATAAGATTTTTCCAATGTTACATTGATTGTTTTTTTTCAGTTTTTTTTTTATCTATTATAGCAGAAAAAATGTTTTTTATTTCAGTTTTTTTATCTATTATAGCAGAAAAAGTCTTGGTGCTTTTCTCTTAAACGTTTTTCTCAGCATAAACTAGTTACGTACGCCGTGTTTCGGCACTAGTGGAGGAAAGACGTAGGATGAAAGCATCAGGCACTGATGTGAGAACCTTAAACCAACACTCTGCATTGATACAAGCAGCTTGCAGGCGAGATCAAAACGCTAACTTACGCAAAATATGCGAAGAAATCCAGGCTCACAGTAACAAAAATGAGTGCAGGGACTTGCATCACAAGATACGCTTGATAACGAAATCCCTCTCGTCTAAAACTTGGGCTATTGAGAATTGTCACGGCGAAGTGGTCACTGAACTGGAAGATATAGCCGAAAGATGGAAGGAATACTGCCAGTCATTATACAAAGACCTCCATTCGCAAGATTTTGCTCCTATAGAGCCCTTTAATGAAGACAGGGAGCCAGATATATTGAAGGAAGAGATTGAGGCTGCCATCAAACGCCTGAAGAATGGCAAGGCTCTCGGTAAAGACGATATTCCGATCGAGACCATAAAAGCTGCAGGCGTAGAGGGAATACGGATATTCCATGTTCTCTGTAATAAAATCTGGCAAACTGGAACTTGGCCTAAAGAATGGGCTCATACTGTCTTCATTCCATTACACAAAAAAGGCTCCACAAAAAAGTGCAATAACTACCGCTTGATTGCACTATTATCGCATGCTAGCAAAATTTTGCTGCATGTGTTAAACGAGCGGCTAAAGACCTACTTATCCAAAGAAGTTGCACCTGAACAGGCTGGATTTGTAAAGGGGAAGGGTACTCGGGAACAGATCTTTATAGTGCGCCAGATAATTGAGAAAGCCCGAGAGTTCAACAAGCCGACTTACATTTGCTTCGTTAACTTTTCCAAAGCGTTTGACTCGGTAAAATGGCCAGTGCTGTGGAGATCTCTTCTGGATATGGGCACACCCAAACATCTTGTGCACCTTTTGAGGCGTCTGTATGAGAATGGTACAGCGGCAGTCAAAACAGATGGCGTACTATCGAATGAATTCCACCCCAGTGCAGGCGTTCGTCAAGGATGTATAATCTCGCCACTCCTGTTCAACATTTACACAGAACTAATAATGCAGATTACCCTCGAAGATTGGACGGACGGTGTATCAATAGGAGGTGTAAAGATTTCAAATTTACGCTATGCGGATGACACTACGCTATTCGCAACTAGTATCGGCCGCATGGAGCAGTTGCATTCCAAGCTGGAACATGTCAGCATGACTTTTGGTTTGAGAATAAACAGATGTAAGACGACGATGATGATCATCGACCGTGCCAACGACTCGCCCGAAGTCACCCAAATTGCGAATTGTGATGTCGTACAGTCAGTCATACGTCTACCTAGGAGCGCTGATCTCAAACCAGGGGGCTGCGTAGACGAAATTAAGCGACGAATGACTATTACTAGGTCTGCTATGGATAAGCTGAAAAAAGTCTGGAACAATCGCAATCTTACCAAAGCCACAAAAACGAGACTTGTCCGGGTACTGATATTCCCCATTTTTCTGTACGCTGCCGAGACGTGGACGCTGAGAGAAATTGAGAAAAAGAAAATAGATGCACTAGAGATGTGGTGCTGGAGAAAAATGCTTGGAGTGAAGTGGACAGAGTTTCGCACCAATGCATCTATTCTCCAAGAACTCAGTGTCAAACAGCGTCTAACAAACGTAGTCCAGACTCGAATACTACAGTTCTTTGGGCACGTTTCACGACGGGACAACACGTCCATAGAGCGTCTTGTAGTACAGGGGAAGGTCGAAGGCATGAGGGCACGTGGCAGGTCGCCCATGCGCTGGACCGACCAGATCAAATCGGCAGTAGGCGGCCCCTTGCACGAGTGCACACGTAGCACAACCGACAGGGAAGGATGGCGTCGCATCGTGAAGAGGATTATGGCTGCCCGGAACCTGACCGCTACCTGATGACCACGACCGCTCTGTCAAGGGTGAATCGGCAAAGAAGAAGACGCCGTATTTTGTCCATATCACTCAAATGTCATTGTGATTCAGTGAACAATTACAAAACATGAAGTAACTAATCCAGTCTTATTCTTTGTTTGATAAGGGTGTAAAAAGTATATTATGTATTAGGTAGGTATTTGACTCGACAGTATCTATATATATATATATATATATATATATATAATATATACGGTATATGTTGGTTTCTTGGAAGATTAGTTAAAATGCAATATAGTATCGCAGACCTTGCGTCAGGAAAAACAACAAATTCACAAGTAACATTTATTACAAATTAATTAAACATTCATCTAAATTATTTCGAGTGTTTTACATACAGTAATAGGCCTAGTAAAAAACCTTACTCATACATACATAATTTATCTCTCTCCTTGACATTAAATGTGTGTAAAGAGTAATATAAAATAGTCATCTAATAAATAATAACACTTACAAAAGAACGCTAAATGTACTGATTCTTTAATAATACTTGAAAAGTAACTGCAATGTCGCTAATCACTTGCATTTTATGTTTCTGGTTAATAGATGTTGTACGGGGCTCGAATACGAGCAATTTTATGCCTAATCACCCACTGCCAGATTGAACATTATTCGTTGAACTGCATGAATATTAAATTTAAAGAAAATTATTACTTGAAAAAAAAAATTGCGCTGCTTCGTTCTTTCTCAAGTAAAATTTTCATTAAATTTATAAATCAAGCAGTCTAAAATTTTTAAATAAATTAGAATACTTTAACATTTTACTCAACTGATAACTCCATCCATCGATAGCCTTTATTTTCTCTGAAAAGGCTGTCGGTGGAATTTATGTTCTTCCATCGCTTTCACACCAACATGGGAGAAAACAATGCTACTTACAACTAACAACAGTAGAAAATTCTTAAGTACAATACAATAAAGACTTCGTTACATAACGGGGTTTATATTTAATTTTCTCAAAGCCTCATTCTTTTTATTATAACTTTTAACATAAATTAGTTGGAATGGTTGGTTGGTATCAATTATTTTTATGTTCTTAATAAATAAATGTCATATGGCTTAATTATAAATGCTCTGGTATAATTTATTTTCTAGTAGCATAATAGGCTAGTTGACCCTTTTTGGAAAAAGGTTTTAAATGGTTAATTAATGTTCTATTAGACCGAAAAAAAATGTATTGTATTTTTTTTAAACCTAGAAAGCTACAAATCTTTAATTTTAAAATAGACTTTTCATGGACATACAAAAACGCTGTCGGCCATTTTAGTCTATAGATTATCTATGCTATGACGCGAGGCGCGGGGGTGGGAGTGGATGCGCGCGAGGAAGCAACTTCTAGACAGCGAGACATCTATATATGTCTAGGTCATATGGCATCATTATCATACAGTAGCGTGTGATGTGATCAGTAGGGGTTCAATGCTTGTTATTGTCGTGATATCTGGGCGAGGCGCGGAGGTGGGAGTGGATGCGGTTGAGGGAAAGGCCTTTTAGCTAGTGGGACATCTGTATATGCTTAGGTCATATGGCGTCATTATCGTATAGTAGCGTGTGATGTGATCAGTGGGGGTTCAATGCTTGTTGTTGTCGTGATATCTGGGCGAGGCGCGGGGGTGGGAGTGGATGCGCGCGAGGAAGCAACTTCTAGACAGTGAGACTATATAGGATTAGGTCATATGGCATCATTATCATACAGTAGCGTGTGATGTGATCAGTGGGGGTTCAATGCTTGTTATTGTCGTGATATCTGGGCGAGGCGCGGGGGTGGGAGTGGATGCGCGCGAGGAAGCAACTTCTAGATAGTGAGACTATATATG